ATGCAGTCATAATGAAATAAATAAATAAATAAATAAATAAATAAAAATAAATAAATAAATAAAAGGGAAAACTCAAGCAAATCTCCAAACCCACCCTCTAGTGACAGATTTGGGTAACTATAGTTTCTATGAAATTTCAATTGTTAAAATAGATTGTGAATATGAAAATATTATTTAAAAAAAAAAGAAAAGTATTTCAGACTTCAGCACCCTAGAAAGGCTTCTGAGGTAAGCATCTAATAGTTTTCACAGACGCCCTCAGCATTTCAATGCACAGCCTTCACTGAGCACTAAAGGCCTAGTGGATGGTTTATAACACAGTGGTGAACTTACTGTGTTGTCTGCCTGGCATTTCTTCTGTCTTCTGGGGCAGCCCTCTGTATTTCATTCTGGGGAGCCACCCTCCTCTACTCACACCAATGGTTCAAAAGGGACTGACCACAGGCTGCCTGCTCCAGGGGAAGATAAAACCCAGGCTTAGCCAATCCATAGTAATTGATTTCAGATAGGATTTGATCCAAGCTAGCTCAGTAAAACTCCATTGCAAGCCTTTGGTTAGAACTGTGGGGGAAGAGAAACATTCTGCCCCTGGGATTTCATTAGGCTCATGCACTACAATCACCAGAAGCAGCTGGTGACCTAGAATCAATCACTACGTCAGCCTGGGATGAGGCATAGGTGGGGCCTAGAGAGGATGCTGAACTGAGAATGAAGTCAAGAGAGACAGCCTAATGTTAGAATCCACCCGTGTCTGAATTAGACTAACCCCATGTTGTGTTTTATTCTTCTCAGGCAGCCATAACAAAGTACCAAAATGGTTAAACAACAGAAATTTATTTTCTAATGAGGAGAAGATGGACTTCTCCCTTTGGAGCAAGATTCTCTGGAACTGCTGGCTTGAGTTAGGAAAAAGAAAAGATGATAATTGTGTGATTTCGCAGCCAGATTTACATTATAAATTAAAATTTGGGTTGGTGATTCTCAGAAGCCGACTTCTCTTTCTTGTCATGGAAATGGATTATTATGCCAAATAAATGATGATGGTTATTAGAATTTTTGTTTCTATTAAATTTTTGATTTCAAAATTATCCCTATAAAATTAAACAATAAAGGCAGGTTTAAAGAAAAATATAATCTTTCATCCTCTACTTCCCCCTTCAGTTTTGCTGCCTGAGGTAACCAATGTCATCAATATATTTCCTTTTAAATGAAAATGGAATCATATTTTACACAGTACTCTGCATTTTGCTTTTTTGTTGTTTTTTGGTTATTGGTATGAACATCTTTGCTCCAGGGCAGTACATGTAGCTCAAACACATTCTTTACACAGTGACATAATATTTCAAGCAAGCAAACACCCAAATTTATTCACCAGACCAGGTAAGTTGCTCAGATTTTATTTTATTTTTGACACCACAAAGAATGTTTCAATAAATATGCACCTGTTTCTGCCTTGACAAAAACACAAAATGAGATTTCTCTAATGTGCCGTTATTTTAGGGTAATTTCAAGGTCCTACCACATTCCCTCCAATACAATAAAAGAAAATAATGACCTTTGTTGTCAGGAGACTCTGTTAATAAAAACAAAAGAATGCAAAGACTAAGTTTAAATAACTTAGGTCACAAGCAATCCCACTCACTTTTGCAATGCGGTACTTGTTATAGTCAACCTTCATAAGTCATTTCTAGATTTGCAAGATGGCCATGAAGTCTCCATATTCATTTGAAGGCCTTGGGTAGTTTCGCAAAGTGTGGTTCCTAGAGCCACACTGGTGGGGATAACACACATGTTCACAGTAAAGAGTCCATTGCTCACCATCCAGATATTTTTGTTCCGTGGGTTTGGAGTGGGGCCCAGGTAGCTTCATTCTTCAACAAAAAATTTCCAGGTAGAATTCCCGGGAGAAAGCGCTGGAGTTTGCAAGCTTTGGACTAGATCAAGGATCAGCCAAATTTGGCCCTACACCTATTTTTTATAGCTGGTGAGGTAAGAATGGCTTTTACATTTTTAAATGGTTGGGGGAAAAAAGAAGAACATTTCATATGTGAAAATTACATGCAATTCAAATTTCAGTGTCCATAAATAAAGTGTTAGTGGAACACAGCACGCCCATTCATTCCCTATTGTCTAGGCTGCTTTTGAGCTGCAACAGCAGAGTTGAGCAGTTGCCATACAGAAACCATATGGCCACAAAGCCAAAATATTTACAATCTGGCCCTTTGCAGAAGAAGAAGTTGCCAACTCCTAGACTAGATGATCTCTAAGGTCCCTGTCATTTCTAAATGTATTTTATTCACCGTAATTATTTACCTCCTTCAATATGCAAATACACGGCCAAACCCTAGAGCTGGTGCAGACCCAGGGAGGTACACCGTGTGGCTGAAGGCCAGACACCATGATGAATTTCCTTTTACCAGTCACTTACAAATTAGGAGACAATGTGAGCAACATATAATAAATTTGCATCAGCTAATCAGAAAATGGTTAACGACTGCAATAGCTAACATGTACGTGGCACATTAAACACACCAGGACCTGTTTTCAGGACTTCCCACAATTGACTCGTAGAACCCTCACAAGAACTCTGTGATGTCGATACTATTTTTATCCTTCTTTTACAGTAGAGGAAACTACATAAAGAGGTTAAGTAACTTGCCTAAGGACACATAATTATAAATAGCAGAGTAGGAACTTGAACCTATGAAGTCTAGCTACAGAGTCTGGGCTTAAAACCACTAAACTATTACTGCAAGCAATCGGGTCAAAGTAATTTATAACTAAAAATCACTATGTTTGGACTCAGATCTCAATTCCAATGTTAAAGTCAGGGCAATGGGCCCAGCTGGCGTGACTCAGTGGTTGAGCATCGACCTAGGAACCAGGAGGTCACGGTTCGAATACCAGTCAGGGCACATGCCAGGCTTTGCAGGCTCGATCCCCAGTGGGGGGCACGCAGGAGGCAGTTGATCAATGATTCTCTCTCGTCATTGATATTTCTATCTCCCCCTGCTTCCCTTCCTCTCTGAAATCAATAAAAATATATTTTCAAAAAAAAAAAGAAAGTCAGGGTAGTGGGACACTACTCTGTGATAAACATTATGACACCATTTTACCCAGGGTCACAAGGTCAAAAATCCTCTGGGCCAGTTAGGAACATCAATGAATGAAAAAAAAAAAAAAAACAACCTGCCTTCTCAAACACAATTCCGTTTTCTACTTTGACCAGCACCGTGGAAACAGCCTTCTCGAAATCAGAGGAAAACGGCTGTGTGAGGAGGGATGGTGACAATAGCTGCAGGGCAGGGAAACCATTGCCTGTGGTGGGGACTGCGTACAGCAGGAGAGGACATGCCCCGTCAGCAAAGGGCCTGCTACTCATACCTAGCTTGTTGCTGGCAGGCATAAATGAGGGCAATTCAGGATTTTATAGTGAAATATCCCGCAATTTAAGAGTTCAACCTCATTCAAATATTAAAATCAAACAAACAAACCAAGAAAACACTCTAGGCCAAACAAAATAAGACTGCAAGTCACCAGTGTGCGACCCATGCTTAAGCAATTTTCTTTTGAGGCTAAATCCCCTTTAATTCCAAACCTTTCCAAATGGATCGCTAAGCCCGGACCTTTAATCAGAATCTTGACTGCCCCTTGAACTGGTGCCAAGCTTTGCAGTCATCTGCAGTTGATGAGAGTTACAAAGTTCTGCTCAGAAGTTGGAGTTCTACCTGGCAGACAGTTATGCTATGATCAAGCCTAATGCCCTCCTCATGTGTGTGATAAAAAAAAAAGTCTGCTTTATGTTAGAGTAGACAATCTTTAGTAGGACCAGCAGCATTGATAAGTGCTTTTCCTTAATGGAAAAGCATATTTTCATAGCTTTTCCAGGAATACCTTGGTGCTTTTAATGGAACCATAAACCATTCCCTTATTTAATCTTCAGTCACACACTGCTTATTTCATTGACTATAATGACTCATGCACATTCACTAATGGCCCCTAAATATAAGACTTTTTTAGAAATATAAATTTGAAAGTGATTCAGAATAGAGTACACAACAAGGAAAAGAACAAAATAAAAATGCCAATTGTCTAGTTGAAGTGAAAAAAAACACTGTTTGGAGTACTGCAGACTTGAGTTGTAAATCACTGTAATAAAATCATTAAAAAATTTCATCATTCTGACAATATGAATTAGTATTTAAATTGTTCTGATATTTCACTAAAAATCTACCTAAAGAACTTTCAGATCCCAGAGGAAACAATATTTTTATAAAACAATATTTTAAAATATTTCCCATGAGAATCTATTTAGAAAAATAGTACCTTAAATGGAATTTCAAAATCAATCAAAATTTATTGCTCAAATTTGACATTTATGTGCTCTGGTTAGAGTTCATGGACTCTGCACAAAGTAAGCATTATTTAGAAAATTTTCAGTTACTTTAATATATAGTGTCATAAATAAGGGACAAATAGTCTTCAGAGGTCTGCCTAGGAGTTTGGAGTGTGAAAAACATGGCACTTTGGCACTCAAACACAATTCTCAAATGAGAATGAAATGAATATATAGAAACACAAAGAGGACACTGGATTCAGAAATGTGGAACTTTATAAAACGTCACAAAACACTAAATGCAATGTGGTATCCTGGAGTAGATCATAAAACAGAAAAATGACATTATT